CTCCCTGGCTCATGCAGTTAACTGGAACCTGGAATTCCTGTGATAACATCTCTCTCCTTTTGGTCTTCTCCAAGAGATCTCTCATTAGAATGCACTGCATTTTTGCTCTTCTTTTTGTTCTCATGGCCTCTTCGATATTCCTGGGTCTCCCAATTCGTCACCTCTTCCTATCACTTTTGCACCTTCTTCCTAATACTTCTCCAACCCCTTCCCTTATTCTGGGGCCCCAAACACCACTTCTGGCAGGATGACTTCCTTCACCGAATGGTGGCTACACACTTCCAACCCAAGAGAACACGAACTGAATTCTGTAACTTTCCTGTCTGTAAGAATGATACCATCATCCTACCGGTCTCTAGGGGTTAAAACTCTATTGATCACCTTTGATTCCTTCCTCTTCCTCAGTAATAGCACCTACCGCAGTGTTTCTGTGAGGCTCACATGAGAAAATCCAGGCAAATCATTGAGCACACAGGGCCTGATGCTAAGTGCTCCAAAATGTAAGCCATTATTTGTTAATAGATGATTGCTCACAGTGAATCAGTGAAGTAATTAATCCCCATCTCTCCCTTTTCATGTCTCTCAAAACCACACACACCATCCATTCTTTCTGTTCCCTTTGCTATGTCCCTTATCAAAACACATCACCTGCCATCTGGACCAGGGATAGAAACAGTAAGTCAGACTCCTTGTCTCTAATCTCTTCTCCCACTTTCTAATCCATCTGGGATACAAGATCCAGAGAAAGCTAATGAAAAACTACCTTTGTGTTGTCACTCTGCTGCTCTTGTCAACACTTTCTTGATGGCTCACCTGGAAACCAAGTTCTTCCTTTCCCGTGCCACACTCCATACTCCATTTCCAGGCCTGTCTCCAATAACCATGATCCAGCCAGGCTGCAATGGAAAAACCTCTGAAAAGTCTTCAGCCTCTCCCACGTCCATGCCTTTGCAGATACCATTGTCTCAGCCTGGAAAGTCCCCATCGTCCACAGACTGAAATCGTTCTCATCTCCTAAAGCTCCCTTCCTCTGTAAAGCCACTTTCTGTGTTTCTTCCTTGAACTCCCACTGCCCCGGCTTATCTTCTTCTCACAGAGCTTAGTTTTTTTGGCTCTTACTTGTCCTTCTTTTCCCAGTAGGACCTCATGCAGTGCTTATAAGTAACAGGCACTTAATACATATTCATTGAGAAAACTGAATATCTTTCTCACTTTTAGGTGAGATGCACTTCTCTATTATTTGAGATGTATTCTCTGACTGAAGAGATAACATGCATGGGATTTCTTCGGCTCAATCATCATACCCTCTGACCCCTGTCTAATCCCCAGCTTGTATTTTTGCAATATAATTTAACAGCATGCACCTCCTAATTCTGCCTTTTTGCTTAATTCCAAACTAACTTACTTTACTCACCCCAAAGCACTGCCAGTCTTAACCTCTTGTCCCAACTTCCTAAAATGTAACTGCTCTTGTACACAGTGGTGCCTCTGAACTAAAACACTGAAGGGGAATTGCTCTTCCTCAAGGTCTGGTCTATATCAGGGAGCCCATGCCTTGCAGTTAAAAGTGTCATAAAAATGGACTGATAAGTAGCTAGAAGCAGAATGCTGTGTCTACACAAATTACACTGCATTGCAGGGTACAGTTTGGAAGTTCAAGCAAGAATTGTTTATGAAAATGCATGAACTTTCCATAGCTTGACTGAGGATATCATATACTTAAGTCACTCGTAGAGCACTACATAAGACTATGTGTATTTTATGTCATCTCAGTGACTGCTTTGAGTATTTTTTGATTCTTTTCATTAGGCAAGAGGAAGCCATCTCCATGGCCATGTTGCTGGCATCAGATGAGCATTATATGTCAGCAACTACAGTATAATGCATTTATTTTGTGTGAGCACAGCAAACCACTTGAGAACACAATTTATTTTATAGACACACTGAATGAACCCTTCAAATACTGCCCCATGCCACAGAACTACAACTCTTGCCACATTATGACTTTCCGTTCTTATAATTATGCTCTTTATCCTGTACATGTATTAAGAATAAATTAGAGGCCAGGTGCAGTGGCTCACACCTATAATCCTAGCAATTTGAGAGGCCGAGGAAGGTGGATCACCTGAAGGTCAGGAGTTTGAGACCAGCCTGGCCAACATGGTGAAGCCCCATCTCTACTGAAAATAGAAAAATTAGGTCAGGCGCGATGGCTCAAGCCTATAATCCCAGCACTTTGGGAGGCCGAAATGGGCGGATCACCTGAGGTTGGGAGTTCAAGATCAGGTTGATCAACATGGAGAAATCCTATCTCTACTAAAAATAGGAAATTAGCTGGGTGTGGGGGTGCTTGCCTGTAATCCCAGCTACTTGGGAGGCTGAGGCAAGAGAATCACTTGAACCCAGGAGGTGGAGGTTGTGGTGAGCCAAGATCGCACCACTGTACTCCAACCTGGGCAACAAGAGCGAAACTCTGTCTCAAAAAAAAGAAAAGAAAAATTAGCTGGGCATGGTGGTGGGAGCCTGTAATCCCAGCTACTAGGGAGGCTGAGGCAGGAGAATCGTTTGAACCCTGGGGACGGAGGTTGTGGTGAGCTGAGATCTCGACACTTCACACCAACCTGATCAAAAGAGCAAAACTCCATCTCAAGAAAAGAGAGAGAATAAATTACATCAAGAGAAAAAAATAAAGTGCAAACGTAAGTGCCTCTTTTATGTGTTCAGCATGACCTTTATTTATTCTGTGTGGTCAGTGTCTCTCTTATAGAGGGAGAAGTGAAACATTGAGCTTGAATTCCAAGAACCAGGAACTTCTCAACATAGTTTGCCCTCTCCCAGTGCAAATGAATTGTCCGCTTTCTGAAGTCACTTTTGTATTTCTCCAGTGCACAAGTATAACCAAAGTTTTCTTTTCTTTTTTCTTTTTCTTTTTTTGAGTCAGGGTCTGGTTCTGTCACCCAACACCCAAGCTGAAGAGAGCAATGGCATGATATCAGCTCACTGAAACCTTCACCTCCCAGGCTCAAGCGATTTTCCTGTCTCACCCTCACCCAAGGATCTGGGATTATAGGCACCCATCACCACACTCTACTAATTTTTGTATTTTTAGTAGAGATGAGGTTTCGCCATGTTGCCCAGGCTGGTCTTGAACTCCTGACCTCAGGTGATTTTCCCGCCTATGGCCTCCCAAAATGCTGAGTTTACAGGTGTGACCCACCGCTCCGGTCCGTATTTGTTCAAATGATTTCACTTAGGGAAGAGAGAAAAATAGAAAATAGGGCTGGTCTACCTGCAGTTGGGGAGGGCAGAGTGGCAGAGTAGAATTGCCTACCAGCGAAGCTAGACAGCCTTTGGTTCCAAACTTAGTACTACTGCTTTTCAGCTTAGGAGCCCTGGCAAATCGTGTGGCCTCCTGAGCCTTAGTTTTTATATCTGTAGAATGGGTATAATGATGCTCTCCTCATAGCAGTTCTTAGCGCTGAGTAGATCCTTAAGGAATGTTCATTGCACTCCCATCCCTCTACACCTTCCCCCAGATTCTATCCTCTTAGAAGGAATGGGTGTCACTGGAACATGAGGAAGAATTCCCCGGATCCTTTTTTCCCTTGCCTTACACAGAAGCCAAACCTCAAATCTTCCCCCTCTGTCCACACCCACAGCAGCAAAGAGGAGAGCCAGGGATCTGGGGATGGGGGTGGGGGTGGGAGCTCAGCTTCCTCCTTTCAGAGCGGGGAGGCTGAAGGCTGACTGGCAGAAGACCTTAATTGGAGTCACAATAAATTGCCTTTCTGGGGAGCGGGTAAAGGTCGAGAGGAGCCGCAGGTGTTGTGTTTTATTTGGGGGGGGGGTCCTCTTCTTGTTTCATTTCACTGAATTCCCCTCCCCCGCCCCCCGCCCCGGGCATGGCACTGGGATTTGACCATAGCCCTGGATACCCGAGTAAACACCCAGACCAAGCTACGGGACTGAATGGGTCTTAAGCTATTATACTCCCAGTTAAAAGATTTTTAACCTGAAGACTATCTCGAACTCGTTCTATCTCAGTGAGTGACTCACTTACTGGAAACGCTGTAAACACAGGTGTATTACTGGCCTGCGGAAGGCTTAGATGTCCCAGCGTGTTAGAAGGCCAGCTCCCTCCAGTCCAACGTTTGCATTCTGCATTCAGACAGCTAAAGTTTAAAGATTAAGCCATTTGCCAGAGGACCGCAGTCCAGGAACTGAGCGAAACCTGGAACCCTTCATCGGTTCTCCCAGCCCTGCTCCCTCCCGCACCACCCTCTTCCTAGGGGTAAGGGGAGCTGAGGCTCGCAGTGCTCACGTGGCTTTCAGAGCCCGCCTCGGACCCTGACCTGGTATTCCACTTTCGACCCCTCACTTCCTCGTTCCCCCCTCCTTCTCCCTCTCTTCCCAGGGTCCTGCAGGGCCAGCTGGGTGAAGTGATGCCGGATACCTATGCATGCCTAGTGGCAAAAGCAACACCAGAGCTCGCCCCTGCGGGGCTCTGAGGAGTCCCCGCTGAGGAGGGGTTGCAAACGTGTGCTAGACTCGGGGGTCAACCCGCGCCAAGTCTGGGAATGGGGGCGGAGCCCGCCGGTCGGGGGCGGGACGGTGGGGCAGGGAGGGAGGCCCGGGACGTGGAGACTTTGGAGGAGTCGGGGCCCGGGGGGGCAGGAGACCCGCGGGCGGTAGCGGCAGGCGAGAGCCAGGCGGCGGGGCGCGGGCCAGGCGGGGCCGGGCGCGGCGGGGACTGCGGAGGTGCAGCGGGAGCCCCGGCAGGCGGCGTCACCGGAGGCGGAGGGGGCGGAGCCGCGCTCGCAGCTGCCACCCGGCCGCCGGGCCCAGGCAGACGCCACCCGCCCGCGGCCGGGCACGCACCGCGCGCAGACCTTCCGCGAACAATGCTCCGGCCGGGCTGCGGGCGGCCCGGAGACCGACGGAAGGGCCGGGGAAGCGCAGCCCCGAGGTGAGCCCGCGACGCGCTCTCCAGATTCGGCCTCTTTTTGTCTGGCTAGCGTGGTCGCAGAAGGGAGCTCTGGAGGGGCGCTGCGATGGCCGAGCGGGCGACCCTCGGGGTGACAGGCGGCAGCTCGGGGAGGAGGCAGTGCCTGGGCCGCGTGCGTCCAGGGTGGTACCCGAGATGGAGGGAGGCGCGAGGCCGGGAGGACCGGGGAGCCGGAGGGTGTTTTTGATTCATTCGAGAATCGCGCTCTTTAAAACGGGGAAACTTTCCTTAGAGTTCCAGGAGGGGGAACCGACTATTAGGATGGTTTCTCTGGTCTTGCTGCTCTGTTTGCGGCCGGAGACTGAAGCGCTTTGAGGACTGCTTTCCACCGCTAGAGTATTGTCAAGGCACAGAGTGGGAGGCCGCCTGGCTGCTGGGACCAGGACCCGGGGGGATGGTTTGGGAGTCCAGGGTAGCTCCCGCGTGTGCAGCAGCGGGGCTCCAGAGGGAACGAGATGATGCCCTTTTCTCGAGCCCCGGCTGAGCCCTGTGAAACGCGTGCTGTGAGCACGTTCTTAACCTTTGCTGGTATCTGGGGACACACACACTTAGAACATAGAATCCTTTGCTGAGCATGGAGGCGGCCGGGCATTCTCAGCGGAGAGCGCCAGCTCACGGTGTGTGCATTTCTCTCAGGTAAGCTCAGACTGCACATGGTTTTGCAGAGCCGGTAGCAACGCCTAATGGTCTAGGGGCGAGGAGTTTTGCAATGCATTCAGTCCGGCGTGAGTTTCTGAAGGCTTTCTTGATCACTGGCCTGAACTATCCTGAACAGACCCCTCTCCCCTTCCCATTCTGAGAAGGAAATTTGACAGGAAGCCCTAGGGAAGTCTGCAGTTATTTTGCTCTCCTGCGGTCTGGTTGGTTTCGACTGTAGTAGGTGCAAAACCACATTCCTCCCTCTGAGATGAGATTTCACAGCATTGAAAAGAAAAGAAGGAAAAGTTGGGTGAATATTATAATTTGCCCTCTGTGTTAATAGGGAGGCAGGGGGCTAGCGGGTGTTGTCACTTTCTCCTTTCTGCCTGGTTAACCCTGGCCAGTGGAGTGTGTTGAAGTCCAGACACTTTCCATACATATTTCCTTTACCTGGTGTTGCATTAATTTAATTGTGACATGTAGAAAAAAATTTAGGTGAATGTTTCCTGGAATTCTGTCACTTCAGGATAAGGCATAAGTAACTTCTGATGCAAGTCTGAGGGGATATTTTGGGCCAAAATATTTAATCTTACAGATCTGGCCACCTTGATACTTCAGATTCTTTTTTGAAATGGGGTGGGAGTGTAATCTGACAGCTTCAGTCTTGCAAACTGTAGCCACAAATCTGGTGCAGAAGTTTGCAGAGGCAAAGACATTTTATCAAGACTTGGATCAGAAAGAATGCTGAGCTCTTTTTTCTAATCTGACACTGCAGCCTCCTACTGAAATGGGGGGATTTGCATAATTCTGGGGGCCGCCTCTCCTCAGAGGTGAGGAATGTGGGCTGGGAAGTGCCTTCCCCTTGCTGTGGAGAGCTGGCACTGCTGCACCAGGCAAGGCGAGGCAAGCTTTGTGGGTGCCACTTGTGTTTCTCACCATCTTTTACTTAAAACAAATAGGAGATAATTCCGGGCACAGGAGAGTCTTTTCTTTTTCCTTTTTTTTTTTTTTAGCTTCACTAGGTGGTAAATTCTGTTTGCTGAGACTGAGAAACCAGTTTTAACAGGAGGATGCAGTGAGTCAATGACAGCGGGAAGCCCAGGGCTTCATTTGTTCTCTTTTTATTCAATGACGTCCCTTTAAAAATCTTTGCATCCCCGGCAGTCCTGTGATGAAAGGTGCGTGTCTAAACATACAAGAATTTCAGAGCGGAAGATGGAAGCAAAGAGTGCTCGTAAACTAGTGAGATATTCTCAAGGAAAATTCCCCCACGCTAGCAATCCAGATCCTTCCACCCTCCCAGGGCTGTGCAAAGGTTGGGGATATTAGAACGTAGGGTCTCTGTTACCAAGGTCACCCCTTCCCCAGTGTCAAGTGTTTTTCACTTGCCTGTTGAGGAGGCACGGAGGTGTCGCCAAGCAAAACTGCTGTTTCATGAATCTGTGGTGGCTCCTAAGGAAGTGGTTGGGCACCCACCTCCTCAGACAGCCCAGCGTCAGGAGGAGCTGTGGGAACTTGCAGAGCCCACACAGAGCTGGTTTCCAAGCTGTCTTCCTCATTCCCACGGAGCAGGCCTGGGAGGCTCTGCCTGCAGTGGAGGTGGGCTTGACAGTGTCCTTTCTGTGGCCTGGAAGGTGTAGGCAGTCTTCACCCATCAGCTTCCCAGGAAGGGACCCACTGCCTGTTCCTGAAGGCCAGAATACTTTCTCTGCTTTTTCCCTTTCCCAAAACCTAGCGGGAAGCCTACAGCTCTCTGTGGCCTGAGAGTCTAAGAGAAAGACAAAACCTGGCTATGTTTCCTCCTCTTGTTGAAGCCCAGTGACCTCTTCTGGAGAACTTGGCAAAGAAGGAACCTGCTACTTGGGTATATTTGGAGGAGGAGAAGAACCTAGCTAACAGTCTTCTTAAAGAAAAGGACCTGTGAGACCCTAGCAATGATTGCTAAAATATACTTCTCTTTTATTTCAGAGGATTTATTTAGCTTAAAGATGCTCAATGGGCTTTATTCTTAACTTTTTTTTTTTTAGCTAGGGTCTCACTCTTGTGGCTCAGGCTGGAGTGCAGTGGTGTGATCATGGCTCACTGCAGCCTTTACCTCCTGGGCTCAGGCAATCTTCCTACCTTAGCCTCCCAAGTAGCTGGGATCACAGGCACTTACCCCCATGCCTGGATAATTTTTTTATAATTATTATTTTTGTAGAGACAGAATGTCTCTATGTTGCCCATGCTGTTCTCAAACTCCCGGCTCAAGCGATCGTCTTACCTGGGCCTCCCAAAGTGGTGGGATTATAGGTGTACGCCACCACTCCCAACCCATTTTTAACTCTGGGAGGAAAAGAGTCACATGGAGCTGCAGCGCTTGTTGAATGACACCCCTGTCCGTGAGTGTGGAGACAGGAAAGATAGCACTTCCCGCAAACACTCTGGAATGATCTCTGGGGTACCCAGCTCATTCCACCTGATTAGTCCTGTTGACAGTTTATTAGAGATTATCAAACTTCAAGCAGTTCCTCATAGGAGGAAAGTGGAGAGAAGACCCTAAGGCAAAATGTTCCCTATTAATGAGAACCCATTCACCTTATGTTCTTAAGGAAGATTTTTCTCTTGAACATTCTCCTTATGGGAAGTCAGTTTATTTTAAATAGGCTAAGAAGAGCCAGGAGCAATGTGCGGATCACCACTGCAGTGAAAAGCTGCCTGCAAAGTTGGCTTCTGTTTCCAGAACGGGCAGACTCTCTGTGTCTATGGAGTGGTACGAGTTCTTGTTTTTGCCATAGTTTCCCCACTCATAAAGTGAGGAAAACAGCTACCTGATGGGATGATTTCAAGGAAACTGGTTAATGGCTGCAACCCTTTGAGCTCCTTCTCAATGGCAAATTTACAAGGGACCATGGTGCAATCTGTCACTTGCAGTTGTACTCTCAGAAGCAATGAACTCTTTGAACAAGCCAACTGCCTTCTCTCCAGAGCCATCACTGGGAAATAACTCTTCGTTAATCTCTTCTCTCTCTCATCATCTATCCAGCCACCTTTGACCATGACTTTGTCTTGCTACTGTTTGCCCCTTTGGCCTGTAGCACCCAGCATTGTGGACCTCAGCATCACAGGGTCAAGTATTCAGTAATAATGTATGTTAAGCAAGGGATATTTCTCAAGATGCCAGACCTCTCTGTAAGGTCTGGAGGACAGGCTGACACCCCACCTCTCCCCTTTCCCAACCGTTTCTACCTCTACCTGGTCAGAAGTGTGGATTACAATGCTCATTTCAGGGCCCAGACCTGCCTCCCCTCTCACACAGTTCTTGGTCAAAAATTGCTGGTTATTTTCCAAAAGCCATTGTTTTTATTTGCTGTACTACTCGAAAGTTCTTGTTTCTCTGGGTCAACATCCCAGACTCTAGGCCCCCAGTGGCAGGGAACGCATAGACGAGGAGCAGGCTTCTCATCTGAAATCCTATGTGATTTCTTCCCAGAACTTTCCCAAACCCCAAGCACCCAGGATATTAGGGGACTGAAATGTCTTTTATGCAGTCTTTTCATGCAACAAGGCTGTGTTTAGTTTTTACAACTTCTGATAAGGCCACACCACCAGAGAATGTCTAAGAGTCTTGTGACAAATGGATGAGAGCCCCAGAATAAATGGGATCCTGATCTTTACCTACCTCTTTCTCCTCTCTGATCAAATAATGAGACTCTAATTGATAATGTACCCATTGTCTGGCATGGCAAATCTCTTTTTTTTTTTAAGTGGAGTCTCACTCTGCACCCAGGCTGGAGTGCAATGGCGTGATCTCAGCTCACTGCAACCTTCACCTCCCAGGTTCAAGTGATGCCTCCTGAGTAGCTGGGATTACAGGCACGTGCCACCGCACCCAGCTAATTCTTGTATTTTTAGTAGAGACAGGGTTTCAACATCTTGGCCAGGCTGGTCTTGAACTCCTGACCTCGTGATCCACCTGCCTCGGCCTCCCAAAGTGCTGGGATTACAGGTGTGAGCCACCGTGCCCAGCCTGGCGTGGCAAATCTCTAATCAGGAAAGTGTCCTGCCTTTCTAGGAAGCCATTCTGTGACCCACCTCTGAATCCCACAAGACCACTCCAGAGAGCCGGGCGCAAGATGAACCAGCACCCTGCCGGCTCAAGATGCACCAGACCCTCCGCCTGAACCCCGAGAGCCCGAAAATGTCCGCGTGCAGTGACTTTGTGGAGCACATCTGGAAACCCGGGTCCTGCAAGAACTGCTTCTGCCTGCGGAGTGACCACCAGCTGGTGGCCGGCCCTCCCCAGCCCAGAGCCGGCAGCTTGCCCCCTCCACCGCGCCAGCCTCCCAGGCCTGAGAGCGGCCGCCTGGAAGATGAAGGTGTGAACAGCTCACCCTATTCCAAGCCCACAATTGCCGTGAAACCCACCATGATGAGCTCCGAGGCCTCTGATGTGTGGACAGAGGCCAGCCTGAGTGCTGAGGTGTCACAGGTGAGGCTGACTAACACCCGTGGTATTTTTACAGGGGCTGCTCCTGTTGGAACACTTGGTGACTGGCTGGCAGCCAGGAAGGCTGTTCCAGCAAGAACCCTGCAGGATGGCTTCCTCTCAGCTTGCCCTGAGATGGCTCTTGCCTGGGATTGGCTGTAGCTGTTCTCCTTTCTCTGTCCCTTCAGGCTAAGACCCATTAATCCAGTCCCCCAGAATTTCCTCCTGTGATTTGGAGACTGCTTAGGACAGACGAAAATGAAGGCTTTTTTAAAAAAAGTTCTAAATTTTCTTAATTGATTATTTTAAATATATACACAAGTAGCAGTAATTGCAGAATGAATCCCATGCACCCAATACCCTTCAATATGAACTTCAGCAACCATCAACTTATAACCAATCTTATTTCACCTCCCCGACACTGACCCCTCATCCCTGATTTTAAAGCAAACCCCAGATATCACATCATTTCAATACATACCTTTCAAAGATAAAGTGTTTATACAAAAACATAACCACAATACCATTATCACACTTACAAGGTTTTTTTTAGTTTTTTTTTTTTTCTGTTGCCCAGGGTGGAGTGCAGTGGTTCGATTTCAGCTCACAGCAACCTCCTCCTCCAGGATTCAAGTGATTCTCTTGTCTCAGCCTCCCAAACAGCTGGGAATACAGGCACACACCACCATACCCAGCTAAATTTTGTATTTTTTAGTAGAGAAGCAGTTTCACCATGTTGGTTAGGCTGCTCTCTAACTCCTGACCTCAAGTGATCCACCCGCCTCGGTCTCCCAAAGTGCTGAGATTACAGGCATGAGCTACTGCACCTGTTCTTTTTTTAAATTTTATTATTATTGTTATTTTGAGATGGTCTCATTGTTGCTTAGCCTGGAGTGCAGTGTTGCGATCTTTGCTCACTGCAACCTTCACCTCCCAGGCTCAAGTGATCCTCCTGCCTCAGCCTCCCAGGAAGCGGGAACTAGAGGTGCATGCCACCAGGCATGGTTAATTTGGGTGGTTTTTTTTTTTTTTTGGTGGAGATGGGATCTTGCTATGTTGCCCAGCCTGGTCTTAAATTCCTGGTCTCGAACTCGTAGGCTCAAGTGATTTATCTGCCTCAGCCTCCCATAGTGCTGGGATTATAGGTGTTAGCCACCATCCCTGGCCCCACACTTTACAGTATTCCTTACTATTATCTAATACCCAGCCAGTGCTCCTCTTTCCAATTTTGAAGCTTGGATTTTACCAGCTTTTCTCTGGAATCACTAAAAACAGTTACGTCCCTAGAGGCTAGACCATTTTGCTCATTCCATAGGTAACCTTTACAAAACTGTAATTATTCAGAGGGCAAATAGCCTGGAGCTGCTGGCGTCTGCTGCCTTTAGACACATTTAGGAAGCTGTGTGCCTAAGACGTATTCTAGGAACTGTTTGCTACCTGTTTGACCTCTTTGCTTGTTCTAGTTTTTCTCAACCAATGTTTCGAGTAGGTCAGGAAGGCTGTGTGAGCATATATGAAAACTACGATCAGTTCTAAATGAGGGGAGGCTTCATTGAGTAGAGGCATTTCTTTTGGTTGCAATAAACTTGATGTCCCCTTCCAGGCTGTTCTATTTTTTCCTAAGCTGGTTACACCCATTCTACGGACCATTCTCAATCCTTTCAACCTTCAACAACCTGAGCCAGGGACTCTTTAAGCTCAGAACCACCTGGGAAAGAAGCCAGAGGCAGGCCCTGCTTTGAGGCAGCTTCTAAAAGTGGGGGTAAGGGAAGACTTTAGCCCGGAAGGAGGAGGGAATGGTGACTTCAGGGATGGTAATGACCAGTCCACGTCTCTATCTCATAGCTCAACAAGTCCAACCACTCACACAGGCTCGGGCTGAGGTCACTGCTGTAGGTGGGAGAAAGAGGACCTCTGGCATAGTGGGAAGCAAAGCCCAGAAAGAAGTGAGGTTCAGAAACCACCCCTCACCCCCTGTTCTGCCCATACCACTCACCCAATGTGCTTTCCTTTTTTGTGAGCGTCTGGCTCTGTCACCCAGGCTGGAGTGCGGTGACATGATTTGGGTCACTGCAACCTCTGCCTCCTGGGCTCCAGCCGTCTTTCCATCTCAGCCTCCAAGAAGCTGGGACTACAAGCGCACACCACCATGCCTAGCAAGTTTTTGTATTTTTTGTAGAGATGGAGTTTTGCCGTCTTTCCCAGGCTCATCTTGATCTCCTGGGCTTGAGCAATCTGCCCTCCTCAGCCTCCCATAGTGCTGGGATTACAGGTGTGAGCCACGGCACCTGGCTCCAGTGTGTTCAGTGTGTTTTAAAAACACTTACGACTTCGATTTCTTCAGGAATGCACTGTGATTGGGTTATCGAAAAACCCACAGACTCAAAGCAAAAATCAAACAAAACCCCAAACTCCATTTTCCAATCCTGTAGAACAACTTCTCTCGCCCAGAAGTTGGTTGCAAGGGAGGAAGAAGGCAAAGTGATCTTTGAGTTATATTTTTCTTTTCCTACTTCACAGACTCAAGCCGAAAGCATTACAACCTATGGGTGGGAAGCACGGCTCAGTGTCTGGGAAGACAAATGGTTCAGCAGGGGCCCCAGCCATGATCACAGGGCAGTGGGGGGAGATCAGAAGGTGGGCGTGCACTGAGTCCCCGGCCCTGGCACTCCTGCACTGCACTACAGAAGACCATCTACAGTGTCATTGCCCTTCCCTCTCACTTTTCCTTTCTCTTTTTATTCTATGACAAAATCTAATATAAGTCTTTTTGCGTTGGGCTTGTGTAGGTCATCTGGAGACGAGCCCCTGGCAAGGTCCCCCTCTCGAAGCAGGAAGATGCCCACGTTGTCTACCTGGGCAGCTTCCGAAGTGTACAGAAGCCTGCTGGTCCCTCTGCCTCCCCCGATGGCAATGCTTGCTGTCCCCCAGCTTACACCATGGTCGGCCTGCACAACCTCGAGCCCCATGGCGAGAAGAACGTTGCCTTCCACCCAGTGAGCTTCCCAGATGAGAAGGTTGGACACAAAGAAAAACCCTCATTTTCCTACCAAGACCGGCCCCCTGCCCAGGAAAGTTTCCGCCAGAAATTGGCTGCCTTTTCTGGGACCACATCTAGCTGCCACCAGAGCCCCGGGCCCCTGCGGGAATCCCTGCCCTCGGAAGATGACAGTGATCAAAGGTGCTCACCCTCCGGGGACAGCGAAGGCGGAGAGTACTGCTCCATCCTGGACTGCTGCCCTGGGAGTCCTGTTGCCAAGGCTGCCTCTCAGGCTGCAGGCTCCCGGGGCAGGCATGGTGACAGAGACTGCTCACCCACATGCTGGGAGCGGGGAAAGTGCGCGGGGCCCTCAGAGCAGGAGAAGCAGGGCCTTAGCTTGCCCAGGGAGTGCTGTAGCCAGGGCCCCACTGCCCACTCATCCCGCCTGGGCCCCAAGAAACCATCCCTCACCTCAGAGACTGCCAATTCTTCTGACGGCCTCTCTTGTGGCAGCAGCAGTGGCGCCAGTAGCCCCTTCATCCCCCACCTCGAGAGTGAGTACTGCTCCCTCATGAAGGAACCTGCCCCAGGGAAGCAGCAGGACCCTGGCTGCCTGGGGGTGGCCTCTAGCAGATGTCTTGGGCCGATGGGGGAGTCCCAGCCACCAGCCCACCCCAGGGAGGCTACACAGCCTGAACCCATCTATGCTGAGAGCACCAAGAGGAAGAAGCCAACTCCAGTACCTTCCAAGCCACAGGCCAAGAAAGAACTTGCAGCAGCTGCCCAGGGCCAAGGCCAGGGTCAAGGCCAGGGCCAGGTATGGACGGGTAATGCCTGGGCCCAGAAAACAGCATCTGGTTGGGGCCAGGACAGCCCAGACCCAGCTCCCCAGGTGGCAGCCACCATTACAGTCATGGCGGCCCACCCGGAAGAGGACCATCGGACCATCTACCTGAGCAGCCCTGACTCTGCAGTGGGAGTGCAGTGGCCACGGGGGCCTGTGAGCCAGGACTCCGAGGTGGGTGAAGAGGAGACTTCAGCTGGGCCGGGGCTGAACTCCAGGGAAAGCCATGCTCACAGCACCAGCGAGAGCAAGCCCAAGGGGAGGCCCGCCATTCCCCCCAAGTTGTCCAAGAATAGTCCTGGAGGGTCCCCGGTGTCCCCATCTGCTTCCCCGCTGGCTGACCTCAGTGACGGGAGCCCTAGCGGCAGTGGCATTGGGCCTCAGCCTCCATCCCGAGGCCCTGCAGAACCTGCTCCTCCCTGCAGGACCAATGGTGTCACTATCAGTGACCCATCCAGGTGTCCCCATCCTGCAGCCTCCTCAGCCTTGGAACAGAGGCGGCCCAGGTTCCAGGCAGGCACCTGGAGTCGTCAGTGCCGGATAGAGGAAGAGGAGGAGGTGGAGCAGGAGTTGCTGAGTCACAGCTGGGGAAGAGAGACCAAAAATGGCCCCACGGACCGTTCAAACACCACAACTTGGCACCGTTTCTGCCCCACAGATGGTTCCTCTGTGCAGAACAGCAAAGTTGGGACCGGGATGAGCAAATCAGCCTCTTTTGCCTTTGAGTTCCCCAAGGACAGAAGTGGGATTGAGACATTCTCACCTCCTCCTCCGCCTCCAAAGTCGAGGTGAGTACTATTATCTGCCTGGAACTCTGTAAGCAAGGCAAAGGACTCTTCCAGAAACCTTTGCCCTCATGAAAGCTTTCAGGCCCAGGCCCCAGAGTCTACCCAAAGGCCCTTGTGCCTTTATGTAAATTTCCCAAGGTCCCAGTGCAGCCGTCAGAGAGCAGGAGTTGTGGCCCTTCTTGTACCCAGCAAACCTACATGTGGGGCTCTGCTTAGGATTGAGGATTTGAAATCAATCTTTCCAGGAAGCAGGACCAAGCTGTTGCCATTTTTTGGTGCCTGTATTTTTTGTTTGTTTGTTTGTTTGAGACAGAGTCTTAGCTCTGTCGCCCAGGCTGGAGTGCAGTGGCGTGATAACAGCTCACTGCAACCTTCGCCTCCTGGGTTTAAGCAATTCTTCTGCCTCAGCCTCCTGAGTAGCTGGGACTACAGATGCGCACCCCCATGCCTGGCTAATTTTTGTATTTTTTAGTAGAGATGGGGTTTCACCATATTGGCCAGATTGGTCTTGAACTCCTAACCTCATGATCCGCCCGCCTCGGCCTCCCAAAGTGTTGGGATTATAGGCGCGAGCCACTGTGCCCAGACAGTTTTTTAATAATAATAAAATATTTAAAGTTAGAGTTAAAAAAATTTTTTTTGAAGATTTGGGGAGGCAAAGAGTTAATGCCAAATAAATGTGTGCTCAAATAAACTGTTACCACAATGGTGATTAGGCCTTGGGGCCAAAAGCAGAAAAGAGGAAGCTTTATATATGGTTAAGAACCCTCAGATGTGGGTTTCTAAAGAAAAAAAAATGTAGTTTCGTGTTAGCATGCTGAAACTGTTTTCTCTACTGCTTCCCTGCTATCTTCTACAATTTAAAGTACTTTTCAAAGGCTCAAGAAAAATAAATGCTCTTTTTTTTAAAGCTATTGAGCTGTGCATGGGATTTAAATGCTGGAAAAAGATTTCTCTCAATTAGAGCAAAACTGATTCCTATTAGGAAAAGGAAAAACCTACTGTTTTTCAAAAAATGACAGCCTTTATGAACAGACTTTCTCGAGTCATGTCATTTCCAGTGGTTCTGTTTCAGCTGATGTGCCTCTGGGTTCATGTCAGAAACAAGGAAATTGACCACAGAGAGAAGCAGTCAGGACACTTGACTTTGAACATCAAGGCGTCTCAGGCACTGAGGGGATCTAACATGGGCTTTTTCTCATGACCACTACTTTGTTCTGGTAATGCATTGGCCGCCCACCACGCAGAACAGTCATCTTCCAGATCCTCAGGTGATTGCAGACTCTTTGGCAGCCGCATGAACTCCCAGAATGAATGAAGGATTCAGCAGCTAAGATGAGCTTTCGTTTATATGGCACTCACTATAGGCCAGGCATGGATTTAAAAGAGTTAGACATAACAACTCATTTCATCCTCAGAACAGCCCTAGGAGGTAGGAATTGCCAGCCCCAATTTAAAGATGACAAAGCAGAGAGAGAGAGAGCTAGAGTAACCAGCCTAAGATTCTTGCCGTACCTGGAAGACTCCTAAGTCTACACTTCTCCTGAACCTATAGGACACCAAGGAGCATAGAAATTGAGCAGGGCATGAGAGTAAAGCATCTGAATTGTATCTGGCTGCCTCAGTCCTGGGTAAATTAGTGGAAAGCACAGGTATTGGCACTAGAAAACCAAGTTCCTATTCCCTCTCTCTCATTTACAAACTGAGTGACCTTGTATAAGCCACTCACTGTAACTGAGTCTCCAGTCTCTTCTCTAAAAGAGTCTGTCTCTAAAATGAGAGTCTGGAGTCTCTTCCCTAAAGTGAGATGGTAATAGTACCTTGATAACACTCTGCTGTTGAAAGCCCCTAATAAGATGAACAATGGAATTCATGCAGAGGTTAGTTATGATGCAGGCAAAAGCCAGCTGGGCTGTTGATTATGCAATGACACCCACACCCTATAGGAGCTAGCGTGGCTCAATCCCAGGAATGCCACCTGAGCCTTGGAGAAGTAACTAAAACTTACTCCTTTAAGAATCTCGGGGCTTGGAGAAATCCCAGTAACCATAGCAACATGACTCAGGTAGGGTTCTAATTAGCATCTGGGTTGAGATCAGAGTTTTTTCAGCCCAGTTTTTTATGATAAAACCCTTAGATTACATACAACTCAAGCTCTGTGGGAATCTTCGAGGTTCTAGATTTTAGCTCTTAAAAAAACAAACAAATCAGAGGAGAAAAAAGAATTAAAAAGAATGACCGGGCGTAGTGGCTCATGCCTGTAGTAATAGCACTTTGGGAGGCCAAGGCGGGTGGACTACTTGAGCCCAGGAGTTCGAGACCGACCTAGGCAACTTGGTGAAACCCCATCACTACCAAAAAAGATATGAAAATTACCAAGGTATGGTGCCACACGCTTGTCATCCCAGCTTCTCTGGGGGCTGGGGTGGGGAGTTGGGAGGATGGCTTGAGCTCAGGAGGCGGAGTTTGCAGTGAGCTGTGATTGTGCCACTGCACTCTAGCCTGAGCAACAGAGCAAGACTCTGTCTCAGAAAAAAAAAAAACAAAAAACTAGAAAATAAAATTAGCTTAAGAGAACACAGAAAAAGAAGAGCATCTTGTATTATTTAAAATAAACTAGAATATATTTTCATTTGAGGAACCATTTTCATTTTCAAGCATTTCTGACATTAGCTTTGGAATCTCCCTGTGAGAAGATAAGAGGGCAGGCTTGGAAACATATGCTGACTTTTAACTCTGGAACTCACTACCTCCTCTGGGGTTAGTGCCAGGAACCCTGGAGTCTTCAAATCTAGTAGGTCAGGGTGTTGGCAAATCAGAGTGTGAGTGAGAATGCAGCCGACAGTTGATCTGGTGCCAATTCCAGTACACACTGGTAATTATGGCAGGCTGATGTCAGTTTTCCAAAATGTAAAAAGCATGGAAGGTCTTCCAGCAACATACAAGGTCAACTTGATTTCTTCACATGGGCCCATTTGTTAAGTAGATCTATTTCTAATGATCAGCTTCATTATGTGTGTTGCCTATGCACAAACCTCTAAAAAAGGGGTTGCTTCATGCAGGACACAGTTCCTTTCCACTTACATGGTATGGGAGAGACAGATCATCTTCTCCCTTAGCCCATGATGGAAGAACAGGGAATGATTTTCTGTTTTGCCTGTTTTTCTGTTTATCGTCCTATTTTACAAAACTGATTCTGACCTGGAGGAAAAAAAAATAGATGTTAAGAATGACTTGGCTTTCCTGTGGTCCTGTTTTGAATGTTTGGCAGTAACTCATCTGTCTTTTTGAGATATTGTCCTCTGTAAACTCCCATTCGTGTTCCTGAGAAGTCTCTCGCTGGAGTGCCCTGTAGGACAAAGGCTCTCCATGCTCATTTTACACACAGAAGAGTTTTTCTTTGGAGGAGTTTAAGTGCGTGCCCAACCCTCTTCCCTGGGCAGGTACGGCAAGGCCTGAACACTTCCATCCCTGTTTCTGTCAAAGCAACCTTTTATATCCACAAAGTCACACTTACTAAGAATAATGAACCTTGGATGGGCACAGTGGCTCACATCTGTAATCCCAGCACTTTGGGAGGCTGAGGTGGTCAGATCACAAGGTCAGGAGTTTGAGGCTAACCTGGCCAACATGATGAAACTTTGTCTCTACTAAAAATAAAAATTAGCGGAGTGTGGTGGTGGCTGCCTGTAATCCCAGCTACTCGGGAGGCTGAGGCAAGGAGAATCACTTGAACCCAGGAGACGGAGGTTGCGGTAAGCTGAAATCATGCCATTGCCCTCCAGCCTGGGCAACAAGAGTGAAACTCTGACTCAAAAAAAAGAAGAATGATGAACCTCATAGAGTCTCTGGTCACCCCGTCCCAATATAAGGCAGAGTTATAAGATGAGGATCAGCAAGTACTGTTGGTTAGGAAACAAAAACACTTCAGGAAAGAAGGGTGGACTCTTAGTTTAAATGTCCTGCTTAAGACTTAATGGCAATTTGGCCAGGCATGGTGACTCACGCTTGTAATCCCAGCACTTTGGGAGGCTGAGGCGGGCAGGTCACCTGAGGTCTGGAGTTCTGGACTAGCCTGGACAATATTAAGGAGAAGAGTAGTGCTGGGGAAACAATTAAGATGTGAAATAACCAAATTGCTTTCTGCTCTTTGCTTTTTCACAGATGCAAACCCTATTTTAAATTATTTAATGACTTTTGGGTGATCAGGTCAGTTGAAAGAGAATCATCTGGTTAGTGCAGACAGTTTTCACAAAGAAACATTAAATTAGGAGAAGAGGCCTGAGCCCAGCTGGAAGTGAGCGTGACAGGTAACTAAGAGATAAGACAGATTTATGTGGTTTCAGTGTCTAAATGGTCTGGCCTCAGGTGAGACTAATCAAAAGAAAAATTTCCCCAAGAAAGTGAGTGATGTCTTTGTTTCCTTTGTGTTGTTTTGTTTTGAGACAGATTCTCACTCTGTCGCCTAGGCTGGAGTGCAGTGGTGCCATCTCACTGCAACCTCCACTTGCCAGACTCAGGTGATCCTCTCACATCAGCCTCCTGAGTATCTGGGACTACAGGCACGTGCTACCATGCCTTGCTAATTTTTATATTTTTGTAGAGATGGGGTTTCACCATGTTTCCCAGGCTGGTCTCGAACTCCTAGGCTCAAGCAATCCACCTGCCTCAGCCTCCCAAAGTGTTGGGATTATAGGCGTCAGCCGCCACACCAGCCAATGTCTTCGTTTAAAAGTTATCACTCATGTGAATTTGAATTTTAATCTGCTACTTATTAAATTCTCCCCTTCTTCTGTGGGGTTGCTGGGAAGCAGAGGTTAAATCTATTTTTGGGCTTTGCTCACTGTTTATTTGTGTATTTTTTTTAATCTATTTATCTGTTTATTTACTTATTCATTTATTTTTGAGACAGAGTCTCTGTTACTCAGGCTGGCATGCAGTGGTGCCACCTCAGTTTACTACAACCTCTGCCTCCCGAGTACAAGCAATTGTCCTGCCTC